CTGATCAATCCGAACTATCACTTCTTTTTCGCTTCAGCGATCTGGGCATTGTTGACTTCATTTATTTAATAAATGAATTAAAGGAATAATCATGAAATAATTATTTCTAAAATAATAGTTATTTGTCAAATTTTATTAGAAATACTTTTTGAATGAGTCATGTCTGAATTAATTAATTGAAAGTTTTCCATTTAACTGTTGAAATATAAATAAGAAATTAATTAAAAAATAAATAAATTCAAATATTCTCTGCAGGGCTGTATACAGAAACCAAGGGTTCCCAGAGATATTTTCCCCCGTCAAATATAAATTTATCACAAGAAATTTTTTTTTTATTTCAATATAATTTTAAACACGTAAACTATGATTTCATAATGACGCTTTCGCCTAGGAGCCATTATATACTTATAACCAAAAAAAAATCACTGTGATTTTCCCGGAACTGTCACTGTCGGAGCTGTGACAGAAAATCTCTGTCACATCCCATAACTAAACGAAACCTACATCAATTTACAGTTCATGATATGATTGAGTTTTTTATAGGGACCACTCGGAATGCGTACTCCCCGTCAGATTATCCTGTTGGATAAACCGAACGGTCATCGATGACCCGCCAATTCTACAAGAGAACTGATGAATCCGCCTCGCGCTCAGGAGAGGACGCTATCGATCGTCATCGTGGTTTTGAGTTACCCGACGATTACCGCCGAGGTGAAGATCAACGAACTACAGAAATGATCCTGTAGAAGTATGATCTTAGAGAATTTAGAGGCTTCAAGAGAAGAGGTACATTTTTGTCAGATACTAGCTCCAGGAGGGAAGTCTAGTAAAGTTACCTTTTATTTCCTTCGTTGACTCTGTTTTGGACTAAGGAGTGGTCCACATCTTTTGACAATTATAGTAATCTATACCATCTCATATTTGGCCTTGGAGTCTCTGCTTCAGTGGTAATCACATATGTATCTATCTGGTATCCAGTGCATTGGATGGAGTGAAGACAGCGCTCCAAGCGATGGGCTTCCCAACTTCTTCAGTGGTATGTCTTATTACCTGAGTTTGAAAAACTCCTAGGATGCATGTGTCATAATAAATTACCAACCAGGGAACTAACTCATAAGGCAATTTTCGACGCGCAATGAAGCTAATGATTTATCAATAGTTACTTTGGTTTTTTAAATAATTTTATATGGCTCTATGGTTTTGATAAACTTTACTGTACCACCAAGGACTCTCACCAACTATCAATAAAAACCAGAGAACTTTGATCAATGTTGAAATTCCATCTTTAAAATAAAAATCCATTTTAAAATGAAAATTAATGAGAGAGGTTTCCAGTTTTATTTATATATTTTTAAAAATTAATTTTACTTTTATTCCCTCGCCCTTTTAATCCCTTATTTTAAATTTTATTCAGTGTTTCATATAAATAAATATTCATATAAATTCAAAGCAAAGAAGCTATATTTTTTATTTTATATATTTGTAAGATATATATACATATCATATCCGTAGATTTTCTTACATTTTTTTGTAAATATTTTTCAACAGAAATAATTTATACGTAATATTTCTGATTTAAAAGAAGGGTGTTTGTTCTAAAGTTACATTTTTATAGGTCATTAGATATTTTTAAAAAATTGTAGAATATATTACATAATTTAATCTGTAATAGCAAAAAAAATATTATTTATAGGTACTGAATCTATTTAATACGTGAAAAAAATCTTTTTAAAATAACCTTATTGTTTCATATTTTTAATTTCCTATGTGTAGATGAAATAAGCATTTAATTCAATTTTTAATAGCACATGTGTTTCACACTATACTAAAAATATTCATGTTTTATTTAATTTTTTCAACGTTATCTGAAATAAGTCAAAAAATGTAGGCCTATATCTGAAGCTTTATTACACATGTAAATAATATGCAATCGAACTAATTTTTAGAAAAGCCCATGGGGCAAACTATCCCAGATGTTCATATTTCATGACATAAGTCATTACTTTTTTTCCCAATTCCCTCTAGTTTATAAAAAAATTAATGCTTGCCTTGATATGAGCAGTTATATGTCACATATAAAATGTCCCCTAAAATCATTGAATAATTTCTGTAAGTAGGATAGTTTACAAGTTTGGAATTTAAAATTAAATTCCATTAAATAATTTCAAATTTTAACCTACTGTTTTTATTAAGCAATAAGAATTCTATTTTTAAATGCCTCTCTTTTATTTTTTTAATTCATTAACTTGTTTTCCATCAATTCGTTAAAAAAGAGAATATGTTTTGATTATTTCCAAAGAGAACCTTAAATCATCAATGATGACAATTTTTCAGGAAACGCGAAAAACTATATTCTCTATTTCGATTATAACGTCAAAACCAACATTTTTAAAAATTAAATATAGATATATTTTATGTATAGCATGTATTTTGAAAATCACTGAATATTTCTACAATAAGATTGAAATTTGAATGAGCCTTTTTGGGCAAGGTAAGGAAAAGGTATATCAAGTTCAGTTTGTAGAGAAAAAAGTTATTAAAACTTTATTATATAAAATCGGTTTAAAACGCTTTTGATGAATTATCATTTTAAGGGATGAAAGTTTCATTACATTTCCTGTCACCAACTTCTCACGAATTGATTAAGATGAAAAGAAAATCGTTTAGTGAATAGATAGGTAATAGCAGGGGTGCCCAGAAGGTGGTTTAGTTGTGCCATCAAACTTTTTGAGGGAAACACATTTTGAATTTTTGTGGGGGGAACATTTCAACGTGGTTATGAATTTTCGAAATGAAAATTATCAAACCAGTGACCAGAAAGGAAGGCAAAGAACAACCACTGAAATTAATCATTGTACATGATTTATTTATAAAATTCTACTTTAGCTTGTCCTTTTAAGAAGACGAGAGCAATAAAATATCTTGGGAGAAGGGGAGGGGAAGAGGGGGGGGGGAGAATGGGGGTCCCTGGGTAATAGAAGAAACAACAATAAATCATTTATCTTTAATTTCATAACGTGGAGAAAGAAATATGCGCTATTTTAATAAGTACAGGTCAAGAAACTATTCAGTAATTATTTAATTTAATTATCACTCTGGAATTCAAAAGGAGGAGATTGACTATTATTTCCGGTCTTCAGAATGTGGTCAAAGTATGTTTTAGACTTACTTAATATTTCTATCAAGTTGGCCAGCATATTGGTATTTTCATCCTTTATCAGTCCCAAACATTTGCGCAATCTTTATACCTTTGTTCATTTTTTTCAACTTTATGGGTTTCAATTTCTATTACTTACCAATATATAGTGGAGGAAAGGATTACGATCATAAAATATTTTGAACCTAAATTTTCGACTGAAATATACATTTTGAGATCCCCTCAGTCCAAATAAACAAGAGCCTCTAAATGTTCTGTGAGTGTGTTTATCTCAGCCTGGCTCAAAATCGATGTCATACGAAACTATTAAAGATAGCTTTATGTTCCAGCAACTGTTTCCTTAAAATCAGCAACCGGAAATACCACTTTATATCATTTATTTTACAATTTTCTCAGAACAACTCAAATGATTGGTATATCAATGTAGAATTAAGTGCATTTTAATATCACCTAGAACTTATCCTCATTGTTGTCCAAAAAGACTTGAGTGCCAAATGTTCAAAATTTCTTCCTCAAAAGTACCTCTAATTTGGTTTCTTTTAAATAATTAACTGTCTCTTAGCAGGCCGATGGTTGGAACCAGCCAGATACCTTTTCCCTGGTGAGTAATGAAAACACCTGATGATTCACCAGCCTCCTAGGGTGAAGAAGCGAATGTGACAAGGATTGCTAAGGTGGTTCCTCGTGTTACAGGTGGGAAACGCATTTTCAGTGGGCTAAGTAGACTGATGGTGTAGGCTAAAGCCTGGCAACTCGTAACCTGTTAGGAGGCAGCCCCTTTCCCTGGCTTGGGAATAGCATGCTGCTAACCTGTTTCCCTCAAATTCTTTTTAACACAAATAATAAATAGCCAGACTGATAAATTTGTTTTTGGCAGGGGGAGCTGCAATTAATTACCCATTGTGTTCCTGCACTTTATTCCTGATAAATCCAATTACTTACTGTCCCTATAGATATAACTTTTCCAACTAGAAATATCACTAAAACGACATTACTCAAAAATGTTGAAATTGGAGTTAGTCATTCTGTCAACTGAAAGGCGAAAGGCTCAGAGACTGAAGTTGTGTGTTTTATAAAAGCAGATGGAGTAATTTGATTTTTATTTCCTACCGTCGATATAATAATAAATATTTGCAATTTTAATGATTTGTTATCTGTAAGCTTTAGCTCCGTTTAAAATTTTATAATAGCCCAACACTGCCATAAAATAATTTCTATTCAAAGTACAACAGTATGTGAAAGTTGTGTTGTGTGCACCAGATTTTTTTTTTCTGGAGACAACCTTCCATACCGCACTTTTCCAAATAATCAGTTGCTGGAATGGATACTGTCACCATTCATATAATTATAATACTAAGGAAATTTTATCTTTCTTTTTTTTTGTGAACATTTTATGAGTTTATACCAGTTGGCCCACTAAACATTTCACAACTTGACTCAAGAATATGGCAGAGCAATGGGAAATACTAGTTCAGGATAGCCTATGACATAGGTGGGGAATCAAGTTACCGTTAGAGGCCACAGGAAGGTTAGATATGGAAAATGGAGGCCACAATATTTTGTATGTTTTACTGTTGCTATATTAACTTTCAAATTTTTGTAACTAAATGATTAAATATTAATTAATTCTAGTGTTAAAGGTCCAATCAATTATTGAATAATTGTAGTAATTATTGTTCTTATGTGCAGCTCTAAACAAAGGGTAAAATATGTTAGGAGATGATGAATTAGCGAAATATCGGTCAAGGACAATGATAAGAAGACGTAAATAAAACAAATACCATACAAATATTATATTAATGAATTATTAGAAATACAGATATTTAAAAAATAACCAGGAAATTCAAATACCATATTTTGGAATTTGGTCTCCAATATAAAACTCTTTTCTTGGTGGACCTTGGCCATCAATAATACAAATATTAACTACACCACCAGAAGATCCATCGCGACTCATTGCTAGTGCGAGAACTGAAAAAAAAATTATAATTTTTTAACATAATTAGGAAAATAATTGAATCACAATATGTTAAAAAGGACGTTCTCCTATTATTTGGGATACATGAATTATCTTCATTATTGTACTCTGTTTGAGGTATTGCTTCATGAGAGTAGAAAGGTAATTTCTCTTAAGAGCCTAGTAGCTAAGCTATAGTTTGTTGACTAATTCACTGATTAATTTTCTATTTGAAAAATAAAATAAATTATATTTTTATTTTAGAACAGATCAGCCTTTTTAACATTCACCGATCATTTAAAAATTCCAATTAATTGTTTAAAACCCTAGTAATGCATTCTAATAGATGCTTTCCTCTATTATAATTTAAAGAATTATTAAAAACAAAACCAGATATACACTATAAAAAACATGCCATTTAGATGACTAATGGAATGTGACAGTTGGAGCCATACACAACCATGGGAGATTGGATATCTATTGAAAGTTTATCGAACAGATCATAATAAGAGTTCTCAATTTTGGTCTGAAAAATATAATCGTCATACTTAACAAGCATTTTGTAATAAATGCAAAAAAAAAACATGACAATATACACAGGTAGCAACCAAATCAAAGTTTTTTTTATTAGATATTCTATTATATATTTTTTCCTTCCCACTATATGAAATATAAAAAAATGTATATAACTGAAATGCTTATTTGTTTATAACAGGTAAAAGGTAAACTCCCTTTGGTGGACATACTCGCCGAAGGATGTGGTCTGGTCTCTGCGGTCCAAACTCATTAATTTGTATATATTGTAAATAATAAAAAAATTAGCAGAACGGTCCTTACCCGTTCAATGTCAAAGTCACAAGGCCTTCTGCCACATATGTAACCCTTAGCTATCCCCAATCCTTTAAAATGCCCTCGGGCAGTGGAAGGAATTTATTACATGTATATATTGTATTATTGTATACTATATATGTAATTGTTTCAATAAACATTTTGGAAGGTAAGAAAAAAAAAAAAGTTTATAACAACAATTAAGAATTCTTTAAAACAAATATTTATTTTAATTTTTTTCTATAATTAAATAGTGTAGCCAGCAGAAGCGTTGTTCGATTTAAAATTTATTTTTTAAATATATAAAAACTCTTACATAATTAATTTAAAATTTTTAGGGCCAAATTCTTACTCATGTGAAAGATTCTTAAAGAAAGGAATTTGAGATGGGAATCATTCATCCATCTGATATTGGACAGATCCAGCAATCTATGGGGTACATTTTGCTAAATTCTTGTTCAAAATGAAACAATAGTCAAAACCCCAAGCCCCAGAGAAAGCTTGCTTAGTTGTAAAGTAACTTTACCAATAAGAAATGAGTATTTCTTGTTAAAATAATTACAAACATTATTGATTGTGAATAACTTACGATGCAAAATAAATTTCTTGACTTCTTGTTCAGTCATATTCTCTTTAAAGTTTGAATCCATATAGCCATAAACATATGTACTTCCTGCACCACCCATTGCACATTTCTTCTCAACACACATACCTCCAAGTGGGATATTGTAAACCTAAACAAATTATAATTAGATGTAATAAATGTAAAGCAGGATTTATGCTATAATAATAAAAAATATTAATTTCTTTATTTGGTTGAAGTTTCCTAATTTTAACATTAACAGATTATTCAGAGTGTATAATAGGCTACAGACAACACTCAATTTTAATTAATGGTATCCAATAATTTTGAAATAATGTATTGAAAAAGTTACTAACACTAAAACATCAATCAATATCTCTTATTTTGTTAAACTGATTTCATTACATTAATAAGATAATTGAGGACAAAAGGTAATTTATTTATATAATCATTAAAAGTTTAAAAGATAACAATTAATGCTAATTATTTATCTGTCACAAAATTGTTCAGTTTAAGCCTACTGTTCTCCAGGAATTAGAATTATGGCCAATTGTTATTACAGAATTTGGAAGACTAGATAACATGAAATTGTGAGAAAAGTTTTAAGTTTAAAAGAAAACAAACTGAAATGGCATATCCACAAACACAGCCATGAACATAATTTTTATGATTACTATTAGAAGATAGGAAGTGCTTAAGACAGTCTAAAAATTTTATTTCTTACTAAGACTCATTCATAAAACTTAATTTGAAAATGAGTTAATGAGGAAAAGGAGCTTCTTATGAGCTTACACGTGTAAATCAAGGTTGCCGATATTTTCTATCCAGCACAATATTGGTTATATATTAAGGGTGATACAATATCAATATATTATCATATGATACCAATATTAAATTACAAAATCTATAAAGAACAAACAGCAATGCAAAGTAAGAAGACTTGTTAGAGTAAGAGTTGAAACAAACCTTGTCCGAATAGGAACAAAAAGAGACTAAGACAATACTGCTAGTATAGTATTAGTGGTATAGATAGTGGTAGTATCAGGTCTACATGGCGGGTGAACTTACCTGGCCTCCCTTAACTTTATCATAGCCAGCAACAATTATTCCAGCTGTAAGTTGTTCTCTATGATTATAACACAATTCTTGGAAAACAGCAGCTGCAGTAGCAACAGAGGGTTCCTCACCAGTTTCTGCCCTACGACAAATTATGATGTAAATTGCATGATAAAATGATAATTAAAATAAAGCCAGAGATTAAAATAAATACTTTTGGAAAGCAAGATGATAAGAAACAATATCAGATATTGCCTGAGTATCAGCAGCACTTCCAGAGCGGCAACAATAAATATTGTCAGTGATTTTGGTTAACTTATCTGCCACCCTATTAGTTATAAAAACACCAGATGAAGTTCTGGAATCAGCTCCAAGGGCAACTCCACCGTCGAAAACACAAGCAATAATAGAAGTCTAAGGAAAAAAAGAAAATTAATAAAATATCAGTAATATTACATTAAATATAACTAATCAGAAAACAAACTCACTCCTGTGCTTAGCTCATCATGAGGTAAGGAAGGAGCTCCATATTGATCCCAGGCTTCAACACAACAAGAACCAGCCATTTCGAAAATATGAAAACGAAAATTCTCAATAGAACTTAACAATCAAATGTTACTCAGCGGTTACTGTGGGAGGTTACACTTTACAGAGTTGTTGTCTTGTGCAAGATCATTGCTTCATTACAATAATTCTAAGGATAGGGAATACAGTGAATTTTGACATTTCATAGTTTTTTTGTGGTGTTTTACCATCTCAAAATACGTATTTTAATACAATTTCATTAATAAAATGATTATTTTTAAGAATAATATAACAATCGATTAATAAGGCTGTACGTTCGATTGCCAGACAATATGGATTATTTTGTAGAAGGATGGTCTTTGTTTGGATTATAGAAATTAAATTTTCTTAATGTCAACCTCTAATAGTTAAAACCATAGTCTTAATTGCCTTGGTTGACAGAAATAATGCGATCTCAAAATCATGTTTCGGATGACACTGATTGCTTGTTGAGGAATTTACGTAATGGCATAGAACTAGTTAGTAATTGTACTCATTTATTAGTATGTGTTATCATTTCTGTTTTATTTTGTTTGTATTTAGTTAATTTAGTATTTTGGTTTTGTACCGCCGAATAAACCCCTCACTTCCCTCTTTCAGGCACTTAATTGTTTTTAGCTTCAGATGTTTATTTTCTTTTTTGATTAGCCCAGGCTTTGACAGCTAGAAGGTATTTTTCTTTTCTTTTTTTTTAATGTTGACTTATGTTTGCTTTATATTTTTTATTTATGTGCATGTCTACATTCATTGCAATATTTGTTCTGCGTCTGGAATTTAAACATTATCTATATGGAAAGGTTGCTGGAGCAGAAGATAGAGGAATCAGAACTAATAGCCCTGCTATACGTGCAATAAGTGAAATTCTGGCATATGGTTTAAAAAAGGAAAATGTTGGGTATTGGCATATAGTTAGAGAGCTGTCTCATTCAAGTACAAGATATTCACTTGCAAGGGCACTTAAGCATGTGCATAATCCTAAAGATAGAGGTAAAAATATTATTTGTTTATCTTTATACAATCCCAATTTAGACGTTTTAATAAAGTGATGCTGTATTCTGAGATAGTTATTTCTTTTTTCTAAGCAATTTATTGAGTAACAATACAAACCGAAGATTAAATCTTATCAAGTATGAGATATTACAATGAAAATAATATCATTTTTCATTGTATATTCTATTAATGCATGTTTATTTTTGTTGACCTCATTTGAAGTAATAGCCTCAACAACTAGTTTTAACTACTATATGATGTGAAGTTATGTAGGACTTTCGGTTAAGGAGCCTTAACATAATTGATTAATTGACTGTTATATTGTACTATTTCCTTGTTCCCTTTTTCATCCTTAACACAATATAGATAAAGTGGTACACCTAGACTCATTGGGGGCTTGAGGATAATTTATTTTTGAAGCCCTAAAATATATATATAAATAAATTAACAATATTTTTTGTGAACACATTTTTTTACTTTAAAAAATTAGCATGTAATTTGTTTTCAATAAAAAAAAAATCTGTTGTGGTACGACACGCATCACAACTTTCACTTACCATTCATCATTTTGGTTATATCTTGGTGTCATGTGGTATTAAATGATATTGCTAACCAATGCGAAGATACATCTTGGAAGACTAGTTTTGAAGTACTATTACGATGTGATAGCTAGTGATAGCAGTTGGTCATTTTGTAGATGGTGATATTTTTATTTCTGAGTATTGAAAACTCCACATAATGGCAGTCTTATTCGTTTAAATTATTTGTGGTTCTTAAAATCATTATAGCTTTAATTATACCACAACTATCAACTCTCACTCGCTCAAGAGAAAAAAAACTAACAGATCTCTATTAGTTGAGACCGAGGCCTTGCCAAAGTTTCTTGTCTTGCTGGTGGTGAATCTTTATCAATTAATCATCAAATATTTTACTCATCTCTACTGATAAGGATGGCCTTGACTATACAAGATCCATTTAAGGTTGGTTCGTTCATCTGCTGAGTGAGAGTAGCCAGTGGAAAACCAACAGTTATGATATAATTAAAGAAGTAATAATTTTAATAACTTTTAACCCCTTCACAAAAGGTAGATAATGTAATCTACAACTGGCAGCAACTGCTATTTCCTACCATTACTTCTATTGTTTTTAGTTAAAACTACTCACCGAGACAGCCAACTTCTCTTCTATTACACTATTGTAATGCATTTTAAGTTCATTAATCACAAGAGGTTATGCTTCTGCCATTAATTTTTATTCCTTATGTAGCAATAAATGTCATATCGATGCCCAATTTCTACAAAATGATGGTTTCGTTTTATATTTTAAATAAAACTATCAGTCTTAGGATTAAAAGAATATTACAAAATATCATTTTAAGAACTGAAGATTTGTCTTTGATTTTTATTTTATTTATATGAACTTTGATGGCTGTTATTAAGTCAATAATTTCAGTAATAATATAATTTGATTTATATTTGAATCTCTTATAGAGATACTTTTTAATTAATTTAAGATCTAAACTTTAATTAATGCAGTTGATGCTTCATTCCTATGTAATTGATTCACTGTAATTTTGTTTAAGTTTTAAACAATTTTTTATTTCTTTTTCTGTCACAACAAATAAAAAGGAAATGTTGCAATGTTATCATTATCATCAAAACTCTTCTTTGATGTGATAACATTATCTAGAACCATCACACTGCCAACCAGGAGGAGAGGTTAAGATGCTGTCATGTGTAGTGACATCATATCTTAGACTGCTGAATAGAGGTGCAAGATAAAACATCAGATATTTGAAAAGAACAGTTGTTTTTCTTTAGTTCACCCATTTGCCACTAGTCGTGTCGCTGTTTGTTCTGTTTTTCGTTTAATATTTTGCAAATGAAACAATAGCTCTTTCTGCTTTCTAACGAACGTATCAGTACATCATGAAACTACCGCAATTTTTATAAGACATGTTTCAACTGTTAAGTTAAGGGATGTGCTTTTTAGTTCTTACCTTTTAGATAAAAACAAACACTAACATTACAGTTACTTTATAACTAAATTAACATAAGCATATTTATATGCAAAATCAGCTTATCTATCTTGCAGACTGGAAATAATTTTTATGTTTAGAAATATTCATGTAAATCAATTTAATTACATAAATAAAATTAAACACTATTTTGTTCTATAAAAACCAAAAGAGGAAACAGTTGGAAAAATATTTGAACTACAGTTAAAAGGCTTATGATGACCATGTAGAATAATTTCAAATTTCGGGCAACACTTTATATAGAAATGTGGTAAACAAATTTGTTTGATAAAGGGAACGTTCTTAAGCTCAGCGCTGATAGCATCGAATCTATCTTTATGCTGGACGAAACTATGTCATTTACTAGTCAGCGCTGAGTCTAAGAACTTCTCAAAAATTACAATCACCAGATTAATACAAGAAAATTAAAAATGTTCTATTTGTAAAAAAGAACTTTAAGTTTAAATTACTTAAAAAGTAATTTTTAAGATTAAACATTTATTTAATATTAAAAATAAATTAAAATATTATCAATTTCATATTGAACAATGCCCTGTTTTATACATGAAACGGTTCATACATTTCCAGACCTGTTATTAAACAAATAATTTTGTTTTAAAATGAATAGGATCCGTTTTAAAATGAATAAGATCTGTTAAGAAACAAATAGGATCTGTTATAAAACAAATAGGTCTTACTCCATGAATCGGTTTGTTGTTCTATGAACTTTTTTTTTACAATAGTTCTTAAGAACTTTTTTTTTTTTCAACGAACAGTTCATTTACGTTTTTCAAAAGTAGCAGAATCGCTCACCTCTATTGCCAACTAGTGCCAATGTAACATGACATTCTGTTTCCTGTAAACAGTAGTAATCAACTGCCAGCAATCACTGCCAACTACTACAGTTGCCAGTACCAGTAGATGTTTACCATTACAGTGGTTATACTGTTACATTTTATCCAAGATTTGTGATAAGTAATGAATGACAGAACAAATATATGGTGAATATATTTAAAGTAACAGTATATCAATGATTAAAATGGTGATGATATTGAATAATGGAGGAATCAGTGCTGAACCGTTGGGTAAACATCTGAGGAGCAGGCAGAGACTTATATAAAATAAATTTATTAGTTTATCCTTTTTACTTTTACTTACCTATATATGAAATATATAGTAAGGGAAAGTATTGCGATCATGAAGATTTTCGAATCTCAGTTTTCAACAAAATAAATGTTTTGAGGTCCCCTGAGTCGAAATAAACAAGTCCCGCAAAATAGTCTTTTATCAGTCTAGCTCAAAAATGAAAAGTCGTACGATACTTAAATTGTGTATTTACTTTTTCGTTAAAATCAGCTAACCAGAAGTACCACTTTATATCAACGTTAATGCACATTTTTACGATTTTCTCGAAAATGGCTCTAAAAATTTTGATTAAACTCTATATATCAGTATATTATTAAGTTATTTTTAATATCACCTAGGTCTTATCTCCATTGATGTCACTTTACAGGTCTTAAATGCTCAATGTTCATATACCTCTTCCTCTAAAGTACCATTAATATGGATTATTTAAAAAAACGAATTCTCTTTTATTGACAGTAACTATAAAAAATGGCTTAATATGAAGTTTGAAAGAATATGATACTTGGAAACTGGAGAAAAAAGGAAAATGCTTATCCATGTTGAAAATGAATCTCCGGATATAACAGTCTGAAATGTATACGTATAATATATCGTTGGAAATCGGAGAATTTTAGAAAAAATATCAAATAAATAAAATTGTAGTAGATAACTGAGTGTGATGAAAAAAATATAAATAATAATTTCTGAAAACTTACATTATTTAACATAAACCACATGTTTCCACAGAAATTAAATGAAATTTTCTTATTGAATGTAAATTAGCCCCTTTTAAGTTCGAAAAAAGTATTTAAAATCCTCCAAATCAAGGCAATGATATTGCTTAAAATACTATTTCATTGTATTTGTGGGAAAGAAAAAGTGAAATATAAAAATAGTTCATTGATATGTAACCTTAAATACATTTATTGTAGTTTAATAACTCTAGATCTGATATTATATTTAAATAATTAGGTATCTATTATCCGTTTATTCCAAAAAATCATCATGTAAACTTTTAGAAAATTAAATTAGTGAATAATTTGATGAATTTTCCCTTTGTGATATCTCAACAGTATCCACTTATAATTAGTATGACAACATTTGACTTACCTATGACAGGCAATGAAAATCTCGTTATTTCATTTTAGTAAATTTTACAATGGAAAAAGACAGTTTAATAACTAATAGTCCTACGATCCATAATTATTTATAGATTAAATATTCAGATGTACTTTCAAATCTCTCTAGGCATATATGAACCTTTCGGTTGTCAAAATGACTTACTCCAATTTCAACATTCTTTATTTTTAATTTTAGTGATGTATCTAGTGTGAAAATTTATACCTTTATTCACAGTTCTAAATTTCAACATCACAATCATCTACTCTGGAATCAACTTACTCACTGTCTGTATAGATATAACTTTTCCAACTAGAAATTTCATTAAAACGAGATTACTCAAAAATGTTGAAATTGGAGTTAGTCATTATGTCAACTGAAAGGCTCAGAGACTGAAGTTATGTGCTTTATAAAACTAGATTTTTATTGCCTACCGTCGATACAATTAACAGACTTTTTGTAATTTTAATGGTCTTAATGATTTATCTGTAAGATTTAAGCTTTAGCTCCATTTTAAATGCACTTCATAAATTTTATAATACCCCAATGTTGCCCGGAAAATTATTTTTATTCAAAGTAGAGTGGTAAGTGAAAGCTGTGTGTTGCCTGCACCAGATTTTTTTAATGGTATTAATGATTTGTTAACTTTAAACTTTAGCTCGGTTAAAAAATTTTATATTAGCCCAACCTTGCTAGAAAATGATTTATATTAAAGTAGAGCGATAAGTGAAAGTTGTGTGTTGCGCCCACCAGATTTTTAGATTAGGGTTTCAAATGAGCCAAGTAGATGGGCGGAGTGGGGTAGCTCAGTGGGTGAGCACCGACTTCACTGACGTGGATCGATCATGGGATCGGAAGACCCTCCTGGGCCACACCCAGCCTCTATAGAATGGGTACCATTAATTAAACAATAATTAAGGGAGAAAACCTGGTGGTTGAGCGTGATATCACCTACCTGCACAACCATTGACCTTGTAACAAACAGTACTTCCTTTTTTTTTTATTTACTTTTTTTTTTCTAATGTAGAGGTACATCTGTTGGCAGTATTTGTCTGATATGTTTTTTTAAGCCTCAAAATGGTATTTGACAGCTGCTAGTGCCATCAGTGAAAATTTGTTTCTATTCCTCAAGTGTACCTGATACTTTACCCACACTATTTTTACTATCATTTCTTATTTAAAGCCCTTTTTATAATGAAGTAATAAAAATTAAACTAAAATGAAATAAAAAGCTTGGAGTAGAGGTACACCGAATGAGAGGTTGGCAAAAATGTTCGGGGAGCATCGGGAGGATGCAGGGAAAGATGTTTTTATTTTATCCCGTCTGTTTCTTACAAACTAATAAACTTTTCTTACAATTTAACAATTGAAAATATATTTGTTCTAGGTGAATTTTGGATCTATTATACTTTGATAGAAGGTTCTCTCGAAAGTTACATTACAGTATTATGTGAAGATAAAGCTCTTCTTTCTCAACACTATTGTGAAACAGCTCTTCTCAGATTACCCTGTGCTTCTGCATCTTTTGTTATATTAGTTGCTGCTCTGTGTCAACTCAGTTTATTTCCTTTGGTAATTTATTGTTTATTCTTTTTTTTTTTTTGTTTTTTTGAGAATTTAGAATTGCCAATAGCGTAATGTTCTATTGATGATTATGTCTCCACATTAAGTTAGTTCATTAAAAGCTTGTTCAACAAACGACGAAAAGAAAGCTAATTGGTAGAATATCTAAGTATAATATATTCTTATGTTTTCTGCAAAGTCACTAAGTATATTTTTGATAGAGATAAACATTCAACTAGATGTTTATGAATTTTTATTAAATAATCAAAATAATTTACAATATAGAAATCATATATTTGTTATCATAATTTACTTCATTTAACAATTAATGTTATTCAATAATTGTTTGTATTTACTTGATTTGCAAAATTATCTCTTTAAAGAAAGTAATTTCTTTGTTTTATCTTATTTTATTAAATTTCAATTTCAATGATTTAGGTTGTTTTTTTAATTCAGTTATGTAATAAATTTATTCATGATACAGGATTCAGTTACTAAAGTTGGTCTCAGCCTTGTTCTGTTTACTGAAGACATAGATTCTAATTTAAGTTCACCAAGTCAAGATTCCGGGATAGGAGACACTGGAAGATCACAGGTGCTTAAATTTTAGATATTAACGCAGTTAAGACCGATTATTAATTTCAAGTGTGTTTATACCAGCTTTTGCTCTTGGCAGGAAGATGTATCTTTTTTCTCCAATAGTCGCTCCGACAGCCCAAGTAGTAATTGTACACCACCATTGCCTACTGAACAAATCCAAGCTGAACAAATCCAAACTCCACGTTCTACAGAAATATCCAGCGTAAGGCTGAGGAAACGTGTATCCTGGCACGAAACTGTTTCTGATTCAAAGGAGAGACCGATTTGGGAAAGGAGGTATGCCATGAAGTTCGTTTTTATCTGTTTTCTTTTCTATAATCTATAATTTTTATTTGACAAAAT